AAGAAAACTAATGTAGTTTTCTGAATCGTAGTATATCGTGACTTATTCCAACACAACAAACTCGTCCCACCTTACGGCGATGCGGGATCATGTTAGCACATTCCCAAAAGATCGCACGCACGCGCATACGCCATTCGTGGCTGAAGCCGAAATGTTCCTGATATTAATTAGCTGACGTAACAATGCTTGCGTTTCAATCAATTGATTATAATTAGTCGTTCTGCGATACTTCGCGCCTAATAGCAATGTCAGATTACGATAGTCCTGACGGTGATTTAGACCCAGTTTCGCGTATTGGCATATACAATGGACCTCGAAATGAGAAAGGTCAAAGGCACGGTTTTGGTGAGGCCACGCTAAGAAATGGAGATGAATATGTCGGCGAATATTGCGAAGGCAAGAGGCATGGATTTGGAAAATACAAATTCAAGAATGGAGCAAGGTATTGAGATTGTGTTCTAATTGAAAGAATTTGAACTGTTCGTTGAAAATAAATTGGCAACATACTAAAATTAAAGAGAGTTTACATAATTATGTTCCCTTGTAACTATAAGAGCCAATTGATCCTTTTCATGGCTCCATATATATACTGTGTAATTGGCGCCAATCCAGGCTTTTTGAAACCCATAGCTATACGTATATACATTAGACTATGAGCCAAACCTCATGATTTTTCAACTTGCTTTTGATTAAATCCGCTAAAACTGCTAAAACTAATGCAGCTAGTATTTGCAATTTACACTGTTTGAGGATTCTAAAGCTGAAATAACTCAAAATTAGTATTTTATAATCGGAATATTTAATTTTCTGAAGTTTTTTATGGTTGTATAATCTGTACTTTGCCATACACGTACTCGACGATTCATTGTTTTGACATATATCATGATATTAATTTAATAATCAAATTGAACGACTATTCAACCTAATATTTATCCTCGAGAAAAATTAAACAATTATTTCTGTAAATTGGGACTTTAAGATTGACGCTTACGGCAATTAATTTCGACACCTAAAATAGGTTAATTTACACCTCCAGTTTAGTGCACAAGTTTGGTTTCCCTATCTTAGAACGGCTATAGAACAAACTTATAGTTGCAGGGAGATAGAACAAATTTTTGAATGGTTTTGTAGATCGCAAATTTTATACCGTTAGTTACACTTAACCTGCAGCAGTTGCGAAAAATGCAACTATAACCTTACTGAAAGGAATTGAATCTGGTCTAATAAATGCATATATATACAAATGTGGTCTAATAATGTTTAGTTCTAATAATGTATAAAATTTACACTTGAAAATTTACACTTTGGTGTAACTCATTTCGTATTATCCCAGGTATGAAGGCCAGTATGCTCGTGGAATTAAAGAAGGCAACGGAATATTTATCTATCCAGATGGATCCAAGTATGAAGGGCAATGGCAAGGTGGAAACCGCAGTGGGCAAGGAAAATATACATACGCTAATGGTGACTGGTATGAGGGGGGATGGAAACAAAACATGAAGGACGGACAAGGAGAGTATTATCACAAACAAACTGATACAAATTATAGAGGTACAGTATATGCTTTCAAATGCTTTTTCCTTTTCTTTTGAGATTATTATTCTTTCATTTCATTTCTAAATATTGCTCTTTTTTAATTATTCCATATTCTGCATCTAACAAAATCTTTGTTCTTTTGTTAATTAATGTGTTTAATTGTCTGTCCAGTTGGATCCAAAACGCGTTTAGAAAATATGGTTATAGATTAAATTATAAATTTGTTTAATTAATGTGTTTAATTATCTATACGCATGGATCCAAATTGCCTTTATAAATATGGCTATAAATTCATTAACACTTCAGAATTACTCAGACCAATTTGAACTAGGGACACGCACATTATGCTGGAATTTCTTTTAGAATAATAGCGGATTTTTTCGAAACCGAGAATAATAGGCAAAAGCGCGAATACTATGGAAACGTGTCTGTATGACGTCATCGTGCCAAGTAACGCAAATTCCGTAATTAGCATATGTGCCATCCGCCCATAGACTGGCGCCGGGCCGTGCATGTGTGTACCGTCTCTGAAGTCTGAATACATCGTGTACGTAGAAGTTTGGACTAATAACTTTATGCAATATTTTTTTCTTTAACCATTATGAAAATTTCTAATGAAATGAAAATCTTGACGAAATTTCCAGCCCCACATCTATTATATTAATAAAGTTCTTATTTTCTTCTGCACTTGGTTCGACTTGATGTGGAATAATTTTGGGTATAATAGGGGAAAATTTTAGGAGTAATAGGATAAAGTCAAAGGAATTTTGGAATGGAATAATGGGAACACTTTCGAGCATAATGTGCGTGTCCTTAATTTGAACGTGCGGTACTTCTCACATGAAAGATGAGGTTGTTTGCTAGAAACGATGCGTTAGGCCAAAACTACTGCTTAAAAATTGAAACCATGGACATTTGATCTAGCTGGCTAAATAGAATCAAAGTCTGAATTATATTATGAAGTTAAATACAAGATTTTTTCTTTGTTTACACAGGTTCATGGTCATCGGGAAGAAGAGAAGGAGCTGCGAATGTAACGAACAATCACTACACCTATCAAGGATATTTCAGCAAAGACATGCCACATGGTCCAGGTAAAATGTCTTTCCAGGGATGTCGACAACATGGTGAATATATTATGACTGATATATTCGTAAGGAATAACGGAATGCTAGAAACGCAACAGGAACCAATATGGCGGTGTACTTCATTGGAGTATTCCGGAGAGAATGCGCCTGTTCGGCAACTAAAACCTACCAAATAACATTTACTATGCTGTGTTTGTTTCCAGTAAGAAAAAACGTAACAAAAAACAATGTGCATAGATTTAAATCCTTTAAATGGTACGTTTAATTCACTTTATAATGTTTTGAAACCTCATATTATATAGTGATTGAAAAAAAGTATTGTATATATTAAACATTACACCATGAATAATACTTGCTGCAAAATTTGTAGTTAGCCGATCGTGAAATGTAAACAACTTGGCCAGCCTTATAGCCCGCACGCGTAATGACGTCACGAAGTGTGATGCGAGCCGGACGTCTAGTCTTTGTAGTCACTGAGGAATCCAATATAACATAGACACTCTCGTAGGTGAGTGAGACGCTGTTCTTTGTCGTCTCCTACAGACTGCATGTTTAGCTAGGCCAGTGAGATTCTCGTTCTTTTCAGAACTCTTGCCCACGCGTACGAGTCTTCAGATGTTTGTCAGTCCTGCATGAAAGTAGCGGCAACACTCTGCTTGCGTGTGGTATTCCTGTTGTTTTACCACCAATAAATGTAATTCCGAGCTTTCTCTGTATAATTTTCCAAATGGTAAAAGTGTGAAATGAAAAGAACTCCGCACGAAGTGGATAAATTTAATTGCCTGCATGCCAACATTTCTCTCCAACTGCAGGTCAGATATATAGTGTGTTATCTGCATTTTCCTGGAGGATGTGTAACCTACATGAATTACCATCGGGAATATTTGAACATTCGAAAGTCTACACCAACGAATCAATATCGACTAACATTAGAAGCTCAGAATATAACTCAAATATATATAACAGATTATAATATAAGTGCATGGATATGACGGACAATTTGATTGGCTGATGCGTGCACATTGTGACGCAATAATGCACTGTGGTTCGTGGCAGTGCCTTGCTCTTTCTATTTCCCTCCTCCCTCCCGCCCCCCTCCCCCCTTTGCATTTTAGTTCTACATGTAAAAGTAGTAATATTAACTGGCTTGGCATTCGCGGAATCTGTTTTTGTCTCGACAATTTTTGGGTAAAAGTGCGCAAAATGGCCGAGAAAAAGCTTGAAAAAGAGACAGGATTACCCAAAATAAAGAAAAAGGAAAAAACTGAACATAAGTGATTTTGAAAGTACCTTCAATGCTTCTGATAAAAATTGCAAGATATATTTTCGACGAAAGGCAAAATATGCAATAATTTCAGAAATTAAACTAAGCAACAAGACAACACCTACCATTTAACGTCTTTCATGGCAAATCCAGCAGCCCAGTTGCTGAAAAGAATTAGGAAATTAGTCTGTGTAACACTGTGTTCCCCCAGGATTTTAAACAATTTCTCCGCAACTTTAGCATCAAAATTTTATAAGAATGTTGAATGTTTCTGCTCCTCAATTCACTCGCTTAAAAATTCAAGGAACAGTAAAGGCGCTTGATGCCACTAAGTACATGTTGATGCCTTTGCGTGATGTCACTAAGTACATGTTTGGATCGAGAATTTCAGAGTCAATCCTTTGAGTAAAACTGTTTACTATGTAATATCTTCTACTTGTATTAAAAAATCGTCTCGTGCGTTTATGATGCGATAATAAACGCGGGCAATGTTGAGAGAATCTGAGAATACTCGACAAGCGTGCAGAACACGCTTCTCTCATATCCTTCAAACATTCCCCGTGCACGTCCATTATTATCACATCAAAACCACGCTCGGTTTATGATGTGATAATAGGGAGCTTTAGCAGCGACTACGAGTGCGACTAAGAGTACGAGATTTGATCGCGTGCGAGGAAATGTTCAAATGTTGCTTTTATAGTAGTAAACAAACATCGAATGAAAAAGTTTACATAAACTAAATCTCCTGCAGGCTAAAATCCACTACAAAATGTGCAAATAAGTCATAACATTAAAAACAAGCCAGATATTTAATACTAATAGATTATTTGCGCCGGATAAACGCAACAAATTATTTTTGAAAAACAAAAAAAAAGCCAACTTTCTTTGTTTTTTTGAAAATTCGTGGTGAGGACTACGAGATTTCTCCACAATTTCGTACTCAGATGGGCGACGGCTACGACTTTTCCGCGTCAGTACAGGATGGCGTAAGCATACAGCATGCGTTTAGCTTGACGAATCTCGTACTCGTAGTCGTAGTCGCTGCTAAAGCTCCCTAATAATGGACGCGGGGAAGTTCGGGATTTCTAGTACTGTTGATAAAACAACCATCAGCAGCCAGGAACACAACACCTAAAGCTGTCACTTCTTAAGACCAGTGCAAGAGTTCTGAAATGAACGAGGGTCTTCATTGGATTGAACTGCCTCTAAAAGACGACAAGGAACAGCAAGAAGCTCACCTACACGGCAGTGACCATGTTGGATGGTTTTCTCGCCATAACTGCTATAATACCAGAATTGTTCGTGCCTTGTCACGTCATTATGCATCAGGTGTTATCTCGGTTCAGTGCTTCTATTTATAGTAGAAGTTAGGGAATTAAAACTAGTAACCACAAGCTACAGCCAATCAAGCTACAGTAACTAAACTTAAGTGATAGAGTGTGACTACGCTGCTAATACTTATCACAGAATACTGGGTATGTGAAAAAATCAGAAAGTGTAAAAAGAAAAAGTATAAATCAGTTAACGACATGACTAAGCGAAATAGCAATGACTTTGCAAGGAACGCGCAACACGACATAACTAGACAATATTTTCTTTTACATAGAACCTTAGTAACACTAGAAAAATACTCGTGAAAACTGTACTTCAGTCACACTAAAAAATAGGTGTGTAGATATTACACACCTTTCTTGTCGCCAGATTAACACACCTTAAGGCATGTATTATTATATACAAATCTTCAAACACTCACTAATAATTCAAAAGCTTATTGGCAAAACATGTCAACAATAATATGTAACGTGCAGTGGTTTTAAACCTGATAAAACACTCCTAATTAGCTAGTATTCTTTATATAAAAAATACTAATAAGGCAAGTATCTATTGTAGTCGTGTCGTCATTGGTATTCTTTATATCAAGAATACTAACAAGGCAGTATATCTATTGAATTTGTAGTCGTGTTTGAACTTTGAAGCCGTTTATTAAACTCGCAAGTCGTTTAAACCTAAAAAACACTCCTGCTCGTTTATTAAACAGTACTTAAGATGTGTCTTTAGATGAAAATGTGTGTATTTTTACACACCTTTTACGAGAAAAGGTGTGGAATTTTTACACGCCTTATTTCAGAACCATCCTCAGATATTCGAAAAACCAGTTTCATGTTATTCTTACGACTGTAATAGACCAACGAAAAATTCGTTGGCTCGAGCGGGATTTGAACTAGCATCTTCGAGTATCGACTGCACTACTCGTTGAGATATCGAGTCAACGGGAGTTCGTAGCGAGTCTTATCCAATTTAAGTGCTCGTGATATTTTCGTGACGACTTAACGCTTGTCTTAGACGACGTGCAGTATTTCAACTATATTTTAGAACCATCCTCAGAGATACCAAAACCAGTCGTCACGAAAATATTTCAATCCCAGCCGTTACCATTCCCGGTTGACTCGATAGCTCAAATCCTGCTCGACCCAACGAATTTTTGCGCTGGTCTATTGCAGTGTCAGAATAATACGAAACTAGTTTTTCGTGTCCCTAAGGATGGCTGTGATTAGAAATAGAATTGAAACACTGCGCGTCCTCTAAGACAAGCGTTAGTCGTCACGAAAATATTTCGTGCACTTAAATTCGATAAGACTCGCCACCAATCCCCATTGACTCGAAACCTCAATGGGTAAGGCGGTGGTCGAGATATCTGAAGATGCAAAATTTAACAAAGATCAACTAATTAATAGCCTTCAAGAGGTTCTTAATTTTGGGCTTCGTATTTAGTTGGCGACAGTACTCATGCTCTATGTAAACCCACAAAAAATGCAGGAAAATTATGGCCATAATCTTTCTTCAAACGTTTTAATTTCAATGAAGGTCTAACGTACATTAATTTCGACTATTGTTTCATAACGCTACATGCATGGCTATATGATGCAGCTGCATATGCTAATTTTATTCTAATGCTTTTTAATTAAAACTTGAGTACGATCTTGCATGGGATGAACCTCCTGTCTTCATGTGTTTTGAGCAATCTTCATCCTTGTTTTCGCCGTTGCTGCTTCTACACCCCATAGCACACGCATGTCCGTCGTACTGGCGCTTTCCCCAGGTCTCCACACAGAACAAACAAGAATACAGGCACTGGAAACATGGAGAATCTCGATCACCTTCACAACGAGGAGGGTCGTCTTTGTGCAATTTCTTGCGATGGTATTTGGCAAAAACAGTTGTTGTAAATAAGACGAGCAACAATATTCCAACAAGCGAGTTCATCTTTAAGAAAAAAAGTATGTCATTTTCACCGATCATTAGAACGATTACAACTTTTACAATCTAGCACTAGCCGATTCGCGTATTCTCACACAAATTGAAGGTCTCGCAAATGTCTTGCAATCTGATTGGGTGCGATTTCGTGCAGAAATCGCATCCCTTTTTAAGCCAATCACACTAGAGTGGTGACCTCAGCCGACCAGTCATGTTTAGTCATAAGATTCAAACAGCCAATCAATTTTAAAAAATATGTGAAATTGCAAATGAGCAAACAACAAATTTACATGTGTCATAATCACTTCTGACCGCCTGAACAAAGAATTGCAAAGATTTTTCAATTTTTTGAAATTTCACAAATGGTAACAGTCAAATTAAGAACATTATCTTCTATTAATCATGGTCAAGGTACAAAAAGAAACAAATTTAAGGCAAAACAAGATAATTCCCCCCTATACTAAACAAAAGAATACTTTCCCAGGTTTTCCTTTAAAGCTCCGTGTTAGACATGACCGTATATATATTTTTAATATATCTAACCTGGAAAAAAGCAATGTTACCGTTGAAAGAGAGGAGCCAAAATGGCGAAAATTAAAAAGAATTCAAAAGAAAACACACTTGTTTTTTGGTTATTTTTTTGTTTAAAAATGCAAAGTTTGCAAGCAAAATATGTCAAAAACACCAGTTGAAATACCGTGGAAGATATAAGCAATTTTAGCATTTGGTACAGTTGAACATTCAAGCTAAGTTTAGCGTTTAATAATTTTAAAAGAGATGGAACATATTACGGATAGGCTGCGTTCTTTTCAAGAAATAACAATGTTGTCGGGCACTAAGAATTAATGTATACTGCAAACTTTTATTTTTTTTAATGCCGCGGGAACTTTAATATATCAACGTTTTCAGCTCAACGAACATAAACATGCAGATAGAACATTATTGACAAAGTTTTGAGGTGAACAAGGAGGTATGATCGCATTTCGTTGTTTTTCATACATTTGCGAAGCTTTGAGTTCTAGGGATCGCAATACTTACAGAAATGAAAATAACAAAGCTACACAAACCGGGAACATTGTAGATCTTGAACTATATACATCCGCTAAAAATTTCAACTTAATGAAATAAGGACTTTAGCATAGATTATAGTCGACAAAAAGTATTGCTTACCTCGTCAAATGATGTAGACTTTATAGATAGACTTCAAATAGTTGAATGAACAATTTTTGGCAGAGTTCAATGTCTTAATGTCGCTCATTGAAAGATCAAAGTGTTGATTACGATAGCAGGATAATATACCACCATACTCGTACTTGCTGAAGTTGGCACTTTGGAATGGATGACACGACTGGTTGTTCAAGAACATGACAGCTGCTTCTTCAACAACTTTAGTCACACCATACCATTATATACAAAAGTAATATATTATTGCCTATTGTCTATATGACAAGTATAGTAATGCCAAATGTTTACAATGGTGTTCTTGTTTTCGAATTATAACTGTCTAATCAGATGATATTTCGTAATACGGAACATATAGCTTAAAGCCCATCAGATTCTAAATTCTTTAGGTATTGCTTCAGAAATTCTCTCTTTAATTATTACCGTATTAACATTGTATGCAAAGATGTATTTATTTCGAAGACAATCATTGCATGAAATCACTTCTCATATATTCCTATTTAGTACTGTAAGTTCAAGTTTCAAAACAAGTTTCGCTTTTTGGTATGTCAATCACAGTTTAGCTTAATGATTTGTATTTTTTTTAGTTTTACTTACTTTCTCTAAGTTGTTTTTCTAATTATTGTTGATTTTGTTTGATATTTTTTCAAATTAGCTTTTTAACAATTATATGAGTGTATTTTCATATATATATATATATATATATATATATATATATATATATATATATATATATATATATATATATATATATATATATATATATATATATATACCGGGTGGCGCAAAAAAAAGTATAACTGTTTGATTACATATAGCTCAAAGACCATAAGCAGTAAAACCCAAAATCGAGTTTCATTGCATCCAGCGATGTCTAACTTAAATTTTGGTATATTCGACAGGCATTTTCGTCCAAGATTGACTGAGATATAAGTGTTTAAACTTTTGTTAGCAAATTTGAAACGGTCACAAATTAGCTAAAAACGGCCTATTAAACTGATTTTTAGCTAATTTGTGACCGTTTCAAAATTGTTAACAAAAGTTTAAACTCTTATATCTCAGTTAATCTTGGACGAATATGCCTGTCAAATATACCAAAATTTAAGTTAGATATTGTTGGATGCAATCAAACTCGATTTATGGTTCTACTGCTTATTGTTTCTGAGTTACAAGTAATCAAACAGTTGTACTTTTTTTTGCGCCACCCGGTATAGAAAAGGTTTCAATGTGCAACCAAAAGAGACATTTATAACGTAAAATAAAATAAAAGCCACTCAAATTTTGCACTAACGTTTTCGCTTTAATGTTAGCTCCTCAGGTGCATATTTACAATGAGTTCAATATTTACAACTAAATTCCACTCATTGTAAATATGCACCTGAGGAGCTAACATTAAAGCGAAAACGTTTGTGCAAAATTTGAGTGGCTTTTATTTTATTTTACGTTATAAATGTCTCTTTTGGTTGCACATTGAAACCTTTTCTATATACAACACTTGTATCTTGTTATCAGCAACATTTCACTATATATATATATATATATATATATATATATATATATATATATATATATATATATATATATAATAATAATAATAATAATAATAATAATAATAATAATTTAATATTTATATCGCGCAAATTTACATGAGAATATGATCAAATGCGCGTAACAAAGATATAGTAATAGTAATAATA